AGGATTGATGGAAAGGATTGGGTGGAAAAGTGACTAGCTGGAAGAAGCTGGTTTTAAGCTACAGCTAGCTAGAGTAAGGACAGCCCGAAAAAGAAGACTGGGATTCTGCAGTCCTCAAGGTCATGTAGCTGCAAAGGCCAGATGAGAGGTGTGGGGCCAGATTGGGCGCACAGGCCAGTTCTGTGTGTTGGAGCCAGTACCAGCCTTGTTGGAGCCTGTACCAGCCTTGTGTACAGAGCGCATGCTGGTTCCCATCCTCTGCAGTGCTTGCAGCAGTTCCAAGCCCTGGTCCCTCACGCTGTATGCAGTGCACGGGTCTGGTCCAAGACGTGCGCTGCAGACAGTACCTGCACCAGAGCAGCCCTTTGTGCTAGATCTGCACAGGGCTGGTCTGTGGGCCTAATTTGGACTGGCCCCAGATGTAGCACATGGGGCCGGTCCACCATGGACACTGCATGCAGCATATTTCCTGGACCAGCCCGCATGCATTGTGTGCCGCATGTTCAGCACGTCCAGACCAGTGTGCTGCATGCAGAGCTCGGAGCCAGAGTGGGCACACATGCAGCACGTAGGTTGGTCTGAGACCCACGGGCAACATTGTGGGCTGGATGATAGGGCACTGTCGGCTGTATCTTTGACATCTCTGGAGGAAACAATTTGCTTGGCTTATAGCACGTATGCCCAGAATGAAGGCTGATGGAAGACATAGCCTCTCTGAATTGGAACCCTAACCCCAAAAGAGTTTTAAAAAACTATATACACATTTTAAAAACAAATGGTGAAAATACAAAGGTGTATGGCCCTCTCAGGGGCTGAGTGCATTTGATGGCTGGCAAGTGTTTTGTGCTATGTCAGCAGAGATTGAAACCCTTTGCCTCATGCCCTTCATGGAGTTATACATGTAGGACCAGCTGTCCATCTCTTCACCTTGCAGATTGCCTTCCATGGTCTAGTGTGACACAAACTGGTCCTTGTTTTGTTACAAGGTGAAGTGTTCAATTTCTTGTGACACTTGTTCAGGTCAGGAAGAAGAAGAGTTGGAGGGTGTTCCTGGAGCTGGTTCCTGTGAGCCAATTTCGTTGGCTTTTCAGTTTCACTCTTAGCCTGTCCCAGCAGGAAATTGTCCAGGGAGGTCACACTCCTTCAAAGAGAGGCTGGTCTTGAAAACAAAGGTGCTTTATATCATGTAAGAGAGTGAATAAATAATCCCCACAAAGAGAAGTCTTGTTCCAAGTACTCTGATTTAAGGACAAATTATGGCAAAACAAGGAGCTACTGGGGGAAGTAGGTTTATAGAGCTACTTTATAGTTTATACAATGGGGCATATTTAGGAGCAACCCTACAGCTCTTGAAGTATAACAGTTGTCTCTTCTTGGTTGGTTTTTACTGTTTGGTGGTTTGCAGGAGCATATCTTTGTGGTGCAGTAAGAAGGTATATACACACTGTGCCAGATGCCCAAACCATGTCTAACCCACTATAATTGGATTTTATCAAAGCAGGGTTAATGGGAATTTGGTGAGGTCAGAAGTCTGACTTTGACCCTATATATAGATATATCGATATATATGTGTGTGTGTGTATATATGTGTGTATATATAGATTGAAATTAAGAAGACCGAAGTGATGCATCAGCCTGCACCAGGAAATCCTTATGTAGAGTCTACTGTCAGAGTGAATGATTAAACCCTCCAGGCAGTGGACAAGTTCACCTATCTTGGCAGTACGCTGTCACGTGCAGTTCACATTGATGATGAAACCAATGCCAGAATTGTCAAAGTAAGCGTGGCCTTTGGCAGACTATGTGCAAATGTGTGGGAGCACAGAAGCATCAGTCAAGCAAACAAAACTGAAGGTCTACAAAGCCACTGTGTTGCCAATCCTGATGCATGCATGCAAAACCTGGACAGTGTATAGATGCCATGCTATGAAGCTGAACCAGTTTTATATGGGGTGTCTTGAGGAAACTGATAAGGATAAGATGGCAAAAGAAGGTTCCAGACACAGAAGTTCTCTCACAGGCAGGCATTCCAAGCATCCACACTCTGTTGATGAAATCACGGATGAGATGGGCAGGCCATGTCACCAGGGTGTTAGATGAACAACTACCAAAGATCTGTGACAAGTTAAAGGAGGGAAAGCTCTCAGGAAGTCCTGAAGAAATGTTTCCAGGACTCCCTCAGGTCATCCTTGAAATGTCTCAGCATTGACCCGAAATTTTGGGAAGATCTTGCTTGTGATTGTTCCATCTGGCAAAGACTCATCCACACTGGACCAACAGTCCAGTGGGTCTTATCCATACTGATAAACACTTATTCATACTGTGACCTACAGTCTACGAGTGAGGGAGAACTGCTGAGACAGAGCAGAAACGCAAACGGTGTAAATCTTGCAACAGCAGCACATCCACTGTTGATCAAGCAGCCCAAAATGGCATCTCTTGCTCAGTGTGCCACAGATGGTTCAAAGCACAAATTGGTTTCATCAGTCACTCTATTCACAGAAACCAAACCAACTAGTGATGCCATGGTTATCTTCAAAATTGAGGAACAAACAGCAACAACAGTCCAGACTGAAGAAACACCAAAAATATAAAATCTGCACCATTTTGGAGACATTGCTTAAAAATACCAAAAAATAAATAACTTGCAGGGTTTTTTTTTAATTAAATTTGTATCTTGAAGTAGGAAGCATGCCAAACAACCCACCGCTCTAAATGACTTTTCTTTTTTGCCTTATTTGGCCTCATTCATCATCCTTGTTCCCTTTTTGGAGGAGAGATTCTGTGCACTCCTGACATTTTTAACTACTGCTCAGAAATTAATCTAGACATAAATATACTTCTCTTTGAAGTCACCATTCAGAGTCCTTTTCTGCAGAGTATGGATTAAGTGCTTGTCCTTAGCTTGAAACTATTTAATTGAATTAAATAAAAAGTAACAACACCAAAAATCTATTTTCTAGAATAAAGAATCACTAATTCATTAGATAATATTTAGTCCAAAACACTGTGATGAGCATTCCTAGTTGGACAAAATGGGAACCATACCATAACAAAGTTCCATGAGAAACTTCTCTAAGCAACTTTATCATATTTGTCTTTAGAACCTTTCTTGAAGCTTTTGATATGACCTAACAAGGTAGGCCCAAAGTCAAGGCCTCCTTGTTATCCTGTGAATTTGTTTAATACTCCAGGGCCATGATTCTCAGTCAGGGAGCCATGGTGCTCTGGGGTGCCGTAAGATCCTTCCAGTGTTAAATAATTTGAAACGTTTAAATAATTTGAAACGTTTAAATAACTTTGGTCAATTACAAAGCGGTCTCTAAATTAGAATTTAAGACTCTACTTGTTTTAGGCTTTTAAAAGCAGCAGCCCACAGAAGAGCAAAAATGCTTCTGTAAGCTGTCAGAATTTCGGCTGGACAGGAGGAGTCAGTCTAAGACGTAATGTAAAAAGTGTTGGTGTAAACACTTTTGTGCTTTTACTGCATACTTACTACATTTTTTACTTGGCTTTTATCTTTTAGAAAAGTAACTCTTACAAATCGTGTAAGATCATCTAAATATAATATTGTGTATCAAGTTGGAAGCCATAGTGGATATCTCGGTGGTCTGCTAGGCACCTCTGATGCCTGTTGTACAGCAGTAATTGTGGGAAGCTTGAGTGGACCTTAAGAATCATGGAATGCTTGATTGTAAATCTCAGTGGCATTTGTCTGAAGCACTTTGCCTTGTTCAGATTTTTTCTTCAAATGGTTGTCCATATCTTTTTCTACTCTTGGTACTTGAACATCCCATGTGTGTGAAGTCATTCTTTTGGTCAGCAGGGTCAGGTGCAGTAATGCCTATGCTTTAGATCTCCTCCCCCCCCATGGGCATGAAGGAAAGAACAGGCCAATCCATATCCCATTTTCTTCTTAACTGCCTGTGACAGAAGTATACAATCCTTGCTTATTGGTGGCTCTCCAGCAGTTAGTGATTTATGTTGTATAGCAAGCTTTAAGGGTTCCCATTTTTCCCACCTGGCCATTATGTCATTGAGTGACATAGTACCTTTTGTGTTTAAGTATATCCCTGAGGGCACTGTGACCACTGAAAGTGAAACAGCTTTCAATGTAAACATGCCCACCATCTGTTCGTGTGCTATTAGAAGTTGTCTTCTGTTTGAAAGCATGGCAGAAGCTTTGGTAACTGTGCCCTCCCTGCCCCGCCCCATGAAGCAGTACGCGTGCCTGAGACAGAGTTTATGGCATGTCTAAACATCACCCTAAGGATGATTACATAACATTTTTGTGGTTTGATTCACTGTAGCTCTAGTAAGGATCCTTTGATGGTGCAGAAATATTTGATTCATAAGAGGAACGACTCCTCCAGGAAAAAGCCCTGTACTGTTAAGTGGAAGAGATTTACAACTTGGTGTGACATTGATTATATCCCTTTAATGCACGGATCTCTGCTGTATTGGATAACAGGCATACCTTAACAGACTAATCAGTTAGAGCATGCAGTCTTTCCCAACATGGTATGACTTTGTTCTTTGGAGGCCACATCAAAGAATTGGAGAATGAGTGTCCATTGTTTTCATCCCAGAAATTATATTTATTGGTTTTGAGGTGTGTGAAACTATTGACAGTTACACTAATTTAGATCCTCGGATATTAATAAAGCCCATTCTATCAGGGCAGAGGCAGCCACTACTTCTTCCTAGGAAACTATTTCTCTTTTGGTCATCTGTAAAGCAGATACTTCAGTTGCATGCCATATTTTACCAAGTGTTCTTTCATAGAAAAAAGTATCCAAGTCTGACACTGATTTGGGCAGAACTATTCTGCAGTACTTAAATGGACCCTAAGCTACTGTCTCTTTATATTAGATTAATAATGACAGATCTTTTTGGCTGTTGGGCTGGATGACTGGCGCCAGGTCTGTCCAGGGGCTGGATCTGGTCTGTGGGCCTGATCCAGCATGCAGTGCTGGCCTAGTTAGGGCCCAGTGCAGGCACATGGAAACAGCCTGCCCAAGAACTGATGCAGTTTCCCCATCACCAAATTTGCGGACCCCTGGCGAGACCCACAGACCAGATTTCCATGGGTCCATGGGCTGGGGGGTGGATCCCCCTGCACTAGATTATTATAATATAATTAGAATTTGGGTTGACAGACGTCTCAGAGTATTCTGGTTACCGTAACTTCTTACTCAACAGATCTCCTTGTTTAGTTGCAGGCTCTAATGAAAATGGTATGTTTTTTCTATTGTTATGCCTTCAGAGTTGATATGATTTTGAGCTAGATTGTTTTCTTTGTAGAAAGGTGCAGCTGTCTTGCTCTGCAGACTTACCTGCTTATGGATCATCAATAAACAACTTGATTATGCCTTTCAGAGCTTAGATTAAATCTGAAGTCACTATTTAGAGAAGAAAAATCTTTTGTTGTTGTTGTCTTCTGTATGCTATTTACTTGTATGTTACTCAGAATTGATCTAGAATCAGTAGGGATGTTTTAAGCTTGTAATGCTATTTTTAGAGTTACTTTTCAGTGTAAAACACACTTTAAAAGAACTCTGAGAAATATGGCTTCCTAATAATCGCAGAAAAAATTTCATGATTACTGCTATGTAAATCAGTTAAATCAACATAATTTGCTTTATAAAAACATTTTATAAATAATTATGAAATACTGAATTTTTAAAAGAAATATTAGTGTTCAACAATATGATTCTTCCTAAACATCACACTAGAGCACAAGTAGAAAATTAACAATAAATTATATAACTGATCTTGAAATATCTATATTTGTGATTACTTTTAATATTCTGATTTTTTTTAAATTGATCATATTGGGGATTTCAGTTTTTTGACTTGATATTTGATCATATCCATTTGATATAATAGTTATGCAGCTTATTACAAATTGTTATTTGGGAACCATGGAGGTTATACAGTAGACAAAGCTATTTTTAAAAACTGTCCTTCTATTTAATATTTCCTTTGTGTATGTATTGAGTGAAAACGTTAACTTTTTAAAGTTTATTTACTACGTGGTCATATTTGATTTGAATAGAATTTTGGACAGAAGATTGTAAAGGTAACTATGAACTTAGTCCTTTGCACTTGTTTATTTACTTTGAATACAACATAAAGTTAGCTTGTTTTGGATTTTCAAAGAAAATAATTATATATATTTTTTGTAGTCAGTGCTTTACTGATTTTTATTTTCATAGTTATTTGCTGTACGTATATCTTAGCTATTTCTGTGAAGTGAGTAGGAAGATCTGTGTGGTATCTGAAAGTTTTGAGTCACATTTTAATCATGCTGGCACATGTATTTAGTCTACAAAGCACAAGACTTCTTTTTACACAGGCAAGTGATTTGTTTTTAGATACTGTGGTAAAGTTTTTAGTAGTGCTTGGCTTTGATTTTTTTTTTTTAATGGAGATGTCAAGCAAAAGGCTGAAAATCTAGAAGATTGCTTGCTGATAGTTAAACAGAAACTAGAACTGATTACATGTATTGTGGCTTTGCCAGCAGCAACTTTTTAAAGAGAATTTTTCTTACCAGAGGAAAGTTTTTGGGGGGCATTGATTTGAAGCATCTGTTTAAAGAATAATTGTCATAACTTTTTATTTATGTATTTTGATGCATATAATTAACAAAGATTATTAATTTGCCTTAAATAACAAAATTTGTTTTTCCCTAGTCTAACCAAGTTTTACTTCATCTTCAAAGCAAATAGTTTGTTAAATTACAGTTTTGCAGTTCCTATGCAAATCTGCAATGCCACAAAAACAAGTTTGTGACTTCATTCCTGGATGAAGCAACATTTTGGTTATGAGAGATTAAAAAATGGAAAATTATTGCCAAGTTGCAGGGAAAGTTGGTACTACATTTAACAGTCCAAATTTCATTGCAAGGAAGCTACAAACTTTTCTCACAAATAGGTATCCGTGCATTCCATTGGAGTTCGATCCTCAGTGGGAATCAGTGGCGGCCAGATTTCACTTTTTCACTTTTCAGTGAGATTTCCACAGGTGCATCTGAGTGCAAAGTTATTTGTAGGATAACTGGCAGGTGTTTTTGATTGTTTGGAAGTAAGTTACAATAATATATTGAAGCTGGACTTATGCTTCTGTAGGTCAGTTTCAGAAGTAAGGGCTTGTTGCAGATAGAAATGTAGGTACCCATTAAATATTTATTTAACCTGTTGTAATTACAACAGATTAAATGATTAATTGGTATGGCAGCCCCTGGCCTGGCTGACACGGGGCTGCTTCAGCTTGGCTTATGAGGTGCCTCTGCCCAGCCTGGCACCAATGGAGTGCTTCCAGTTGCCCGAGGTGTGGTGGGGATGCAGTAGCTCCCCAGGGCCCAGCCTCACGACAGACAGGGTGGGAGGCTGGGTCCTATCCGAGCCCAGGTCTGGGCAGGGCACGCCATGGGGCTGAGCCATGGGCCCAGGGGAGTTGCCCTACACACTCTTGTTTCCACCTTGCTTTGCCAGGCCCAGTGGCAGCTGTAGCAATAGAAGGCACTGCACTTGGCATGGCGTGGTAGTGCTGGGCTCCAACCCGTAGCTCTTTGAAGTCAGACCGGGGTGGGGACACATGGATGGACAGATTGAGCCCTGGGCCTGGGCCTGCGCCTGCCCTCCCCTACCATGGAGGAGGGGTTGCACCCAGTTGCCCAGAGCAACGTGGGGAGCAGGGGGTCCAAAGAAGCCCTGCCTCATAGGCAGCACAGCCCAGGAAACCAGCAAGGGCCGGCAGCCACTGGTGCTCAGCTTCCCAGGGCCAGCTGCAGCAGCCAGCAAGGGAGGGAGGAGCTGCCTGCCTCCCTTCCTGGCACCCTCCTGCACTGCTGCAGCTGACCCCAGGAAGCCATGTGCTAGTGGCTGCAGACCCTTGCTTCCTGGGCTGTTCTGCCTGCTACAGAATGTGGCTTGTAGACTCTGGCAATGTAGACTTGCTTGTAGACTCCCTGTCACCTGCCATAAACAGTCCAGGCTCAAGGCCAGGCCCCTGCCACAGGGTCTGTACAGCCTAACTATTAGGTATTAGTCAGCCCTCCATCTTCCCCCTCCCCATTCCTCCTCCTTGCTCCTCCCTCCCTCCCTCTGCATGGCTTAGCTTTTAGGTATTAGTCACCCCTCCCCCATGCCACTCCTCCCTCCCTCTGCATCGCCTAGCTTTTAGGTCTTAGTCACCTTTCCCTGTCCCCCCCCCCCCCTTGCCACCTCCTCTCTCCTTTTGTTCCCTCCTGCCCTGCCACCTTCTGGTTCCTGCTGGGGCACAGCGGGGCTTCCCTTCTAACCCTGCTTCCCTGTCAGACTGTGCCGGCCCCAGGCTAAGTGATAACCAGTAAACTAGAATCAGTTATTGCTGAGCTGATTGGTTAAACCAGGGGCAGGCAAAATGGCGGATCTGGCAAGCAGCCAGACTTCATTTCCCAGCAGCCCCTACTCGCATATCTGTGGCCAGTTTCCATGAAGAGCCCAGGAGTGGTGGGGCCAGGATTTTGCAGTGGTGACAGCATGGGTTGGAGCCAGGTCAAAGCCGAGATCCACTGCTTGCGCGCCCTCCACGCAAAGTCCTGGCCCGAGAGCAGCTTCCTGCCCAGCCATGTGCCCTGCTAGTGCTGTTTGAGCCAGTCTCTGTGGAAAACCTGCCCACTTGCATGCCTTGCCAGTGCTGCTTGGGCTGGTCTCCATGGAAGCCCTAGCCCCACACTGTCACAGTCCCACAGCTCATGGGGTCTCCATGGAAACTGGCTATAGCAACATGGGCAAGGGCTGCTGGGAAATCAAGTCTACCACAGGCCAGATCAGGCCCATGGGCTGGACTTTGCCTGCGCCTGGGTTAAATGATTGATTAATCACATCCCTAGATATAGGTGTGGTTGGTAATTAATTTGGGCTAAACTCAATTTCTGTACACTTCACTAACTTGCATTCATACATCACCATTATTAATATGTATTAACTGGTAGGAAAGTATCTTTTATATTGTTGTTTGAAAACAGGTCATGGATCCTTAACTCACAAGTGTACTGTCATTCATTTGTGCAGTTTTGGGTCCTGTGAGTGTCATCCCAAATGCCTTAGCATCCCTCCAGGACCAACATTTATCTTTATACATATTCTCTTTATTGCTCTGTTGATGGGTTGTCACTTTATTACTTGATTGTTGGCATGCAGCTAGGTTAGGCCTTTTTACCATTAGCTAGCATAACTGTACTGTAATGCTATACAACTTCCCCATCCTACCCACCCCAAGATGTTCAGAAGTCTTGGATTTCTTTGCCCTTTGTGGGAAAGATGAAGGTTCAGGAAACTCCAGAGAAGAAAAATTGCAACAAAGATCATTGCAGTATTGCTAAAGGGATGGCCAACTGGTATCACAACCTGGATGCCCTGTAATTGCAGACCAGAAATAAGAATCTGAAATTGTCTTAAAAGGAAGCTAACCAGAAAAACTGGACCCTAAGCAGTACTCCTGTTACCTGTGTAAGTACTGAGGAGCCAGACTGACGTTTGCTACTGTATGCCACTTTTGAATCAGTTTGGGGCAGACAGCACTAAGGCAACTGAGAACAGCAGGAGCTCTGGGTCTGACTTGAAGTCTGGTAATGAAGACTTGCTTGAAAGCCAGGATTTCTTTTAAATGCAAGATTTTATGTGGATGCTAAGCCCGTAAGAAAATCAAGACAACACTGGTAAGCACACCAGCTTCCCAGGCCTGGAAAAGGGCACTTAGCCAGTAAGTATCCTTCTTTTGACTGACTTAAATTAGCTTTAATTAAAAGTAGCTGGTATTCTATTCCATGTTATACACTGGGCATGCACTAGACACCACTGTGTTGGACAGGTGTGTGTATAACTTGAGTTCCAACTTCCCTTCAATATAGATTCAAAATGGCAACTGCAACATGATGGCAGAGTGAATCCTACCATGCTCCTTCAAAACTTTTCTGCTGCTATCATCACCTACAGAGCTCCCTACCTTTCATTCTTAAATCTCTTTGCTATAGCAGCATTCTTCCTTCCCCTGTGGGCTCACAGAGTGACTGCATGAAGGGTTGGATTGAAAACCACATTGCTACAGTGAGAATTTAATTGTTCACTTTTCCTTAAAGGTCTGGCTGCAGGCCATTGTCCTTTTCTCTTCTTTTTTCCCTTGTGTTCTCAAGAAGGCAATCTCACTGCGTTTCCTTGGGGTGCTTTAGACTTGAGAAAAGAAAAATTTATGACAGAAATGTATCTGAATACAGTGCAAACCAGGAATTGTGTTCAGGCTGTGAGATAGGTATAGTAATTATCAGTGCCTCTTTTTTTTAGGCTGCAGCCTTCACGTTATGAGGTGTTTCAAAGCATTGTATATAATAGCACTGCATGACGTATTTTCTTTGCATTTTTTTTCAAGTACAAAAGCATTGCATCTCAGCGATAGAAATATAGTGGAAAACGCTTTTTTGTAGTGTGCTACTTTTTACTAGCAACATTTTACTAGCAAATAAACTGTTCAAGAAACCTGAGAATGCATAGCAATAGTAAGGCACCAATAAGATGATGACCAGAACACAACTAACCCAAAAGGTTTTGAACAGTCATTGCAAAACTTTGTTTTGCATATCTATAGAAGATGCAATATGGAATCTTAAATATAGAAGTTGGAGGGAGAGAGAGAGAGAGAGAGATATGGAAGATGCAGATACAGAAGTTTCCTATTATGGCTCTAACAGTGCAGGGTGGAGCTACCATGTCATTTGTTCCATTCAGAACATTGGGCAAAGGACATTGTGGTGAATAAACATTGATGCATATATCGCTGGGCTCTACTTATCTTTCCTAATAAGAGCTTTTTTCTGCTTCTTGGTCATGTGAAACAGCATTTTGTCCTGCAGCAATAAGCAATGCCTACATAGGTGCAAATGTAGTTTAGTTATTAACATGGCCAACTTGAGCCCCTGCATCACCCTCTCATGCCCCAAAAACCCTGCCTGCCAGTGTACCACTGTGAAATGCAGACCAGCTGCACTTTGTTAGACCCTCCACATCAACGATTCACAATGGTGCTCCCTAGTTCTACTAGGAATAGATGGAGGGTTCATTGAATCAGGGTTGTAAGGCACATGGGAAATAAGGTAGAAATCAGTTTCCCAACTTCCAAACCTTGGAAGTTTGGGGAGGATGGAATCTCAAAGTTGGGTTGTTGGGGAGAGACATTCTTTTTTAATGGAAATTGAACTAAGAGCAAAAACTCTTTTTTTTTTTTTCCCCCCCCCCCTTTTTTTGGGGGGGGGGGGGTGATATCTTGGACCAAATTATAATTTTTGAGAGAGAGGTTAGACATGCTTTTGGGGATACATTTTCTTCAGGCCACAACAACATTCTAACCTGGCTGCAATAATTACTTGTTACTTTTCTTACCTTTCACAGAATCTGCACCTGGGTAATCAGGCCATTAATGCCTAACATCTAGCAAAACCTGAGGGGGAATGGAAGAGGAAGAAGCATTTGAATTCCTAGCAAGTGCAAGGGAGTGAAGCCTGGCAAGTCAGGAAGTACAGAATAACTTTCAGGGCTGAGAGGGAGAAGGACAGAGGCACACCAGGACCTGGAACTGAAGTCTGCCGGTTGCTGTCTACAGTGAGTTTTGCAGTGGACAGGGAGGCAATGGAAAAGAACAAGGAGATAGAGACAGCTTTTGGAGATCATAAAAGTTTCTCTGGAAAACATATTCCATCAGAGCTCCTCTATTGGACCAGTACAACAGCCTCAAGCAAGTTGAACCAGATCATGGCTACAGATTCTCAAGAAACCCACAAATGTGACTGCGGAAGTGGTTTCTGTGAGCCTATGTTTTGAGTGTTCCAAACCTAGAGGGTTTCTGCCATTGTTTTTCAGCCTTCGTGAGTCCTGGAGAATGACAAGGCCCTAAGCAGCCCATGACTATACCTTAAGGCTGAAAGCTGTGTGTACTTTCTTTGGGATGGTTTGAACTGATAATTTTAAACAAGTACACTATTTTTCCCTTTTTTTTAGTTGTAGTTTTACTGTATGTACTTTTGCAGTTTCTCACAGCAATAATTATATGCTTTTGCACTTGAACTTTGTAGAAATTGAGTAGTTTCATTCAACTGTAATTTTGAAAATAAAAATTGCATAAGTTCTATAAAAGTACATGTTGAGCCATGAAAATTAAATTTAAAATAGAACAATGAACCTCTAGACCTCACTCGCCGTGACACCTTGGAATATAATCATACGTCATATAGTGAAAGTAACTCAACATATTTTTCATGAAATATGAATGAAAAATTACACAAAGCAAAAGAAAAACAACTATATCTGGAAACTGAGTTTCAAATAAAAAAATCTGTGCCTTTAGTCCAAGAATCCAGGTAATCTATCACTTTGAAGAGCATGGCTTGCTGGCTACTGATAAAATCTGAGCCTATGCCTCCCAATCCTTGGTGGGCTTCGCATTCATAGGTGTGCAACACAGTATACAGGTGTAATACAGGGCTGGTATTGCTAAGTAGCCTCTAGCCTTATCATGAAATAATGACCTCTTCCTGTCAGTCTTTCAAGTGCTGTCATCTGCAGTTGCTCAGGCGATAATTCTTTTTTTGCGATCCTATTGTCCAGTAAAGGCTTCATCAGCCAGGTCAGGAGGGGATGAACTGGGTTTTCAGAAAAATTGAGCATTTCTAAGCCATCTATGTCTATAATGGTGCCTATAGAAGTAAATTAATTTTTTAATTAAATCGAAGGTTTGAATTCCTGAAGATGAGCATCATGAGCTTTTCCAAATTTCTGTGGCTTAATGTTGGTGAACCTGCTGTGGTGATCAACTAAATTTGGAATACAAATAGTACTTTTTTTAATGAAAGCCATGGCTGGGGCCATGGAGAAATGGCAAAAGGGGAATGTATCAGTTTTCCTCAATGACGTTTGGGAATCCTCTAAACTCAAAGCCATAAAAGGTCACCTCAGGCTGGCATGTCTTTTATAACACAGATTGACAATACATCTCTGGGGTCTGACAGCTTATACCAAATTGATTAGTTACTAATTATCTGGTTAACACTCACAGTTGAGGACTTTTCAAATAGTGATGATCATGCATTTTGAATACTCAGGGAGTTATGGTGTCGATGTGCCACCACTGCAGATCTGGGTTAAATTTTGCACAGATCTACACACAACAGCCTATGGCATCCTGAAATTCTGCAGCCAATTCTGATCATTCCAGCTCTGCAGAACAGTTCTTTCCTATCAGTATATGTTCGATAAACCCAGACATGAGTCTGTACCAAGTGAAGCTGATATAAGGAAGGTTCTTTCAGACATAGCTGACGTATTTCTTAATCCTATTTCTTTTTTTCCCCCCCCCGTGTCCTCCCCGTGAAAGCACTGGTACCTACACCTGGTCGTGTTAAAACCACTGCAGAAGATGGTTAGTGCGATATCCTGGCTGATGCTGTGTATTTGTGATGAACAGCATAAGGAGCTTAGGGTACTCTTATTGGTACCAGCTGGTAGCAGTTTGAACATCGTTTTGGCTAGCCAAAGAGGAGATGGATCACGGTAATGTGGGAGACGAATCATGTTGGGGCAGGTTGTTGTTTTTTTCTGGGTGGCTTCTGTTACTTTGTCATGATGCATATATATAGGCTTAATATGGGGGAAACAGTGACTGTTGCTGTAGAATTAGCCAGCTGGCTGAGGATGGGCACACTTACTATGTATCATATAGCATGCAAAAGTTAGTACTCTTTCCTTCATCTCTAACCTCCATGTAGACAGGAGCTGAGCAAAGAAAAACTTTCCTGGTGTGTGGTTTACAGCCTCTTGCTCAGAATCTGCAGCCTTGGGATATTTGTTGAAAGTGGGTGTGATACACAGGATAGACTGAGCAGATATGGGGTTTCATCTGTAGTCTGTGGAAGAAACTGAAGCTACATCATGACTCGTACGATATATATTTACAAAATATATTTTTCAGATACTGTAAGAATATTAAACTTTGGCAGAATTGTACCAGCTCCAAACAGATGACACTTACTGCCCCATTAAAGCAGAAACCCAGAGAAAAAAATTGAGAGCAAAAGAACAAATAGTGGGAAGACTAGGCAAAAGAGATGCAAAAGTTTACTCTCAGCCATGATATGCGTAGTTTCTTCAGTACAATCAAAGCTATTTATGGGCCAAGCACATGAGGAGCTGTCCCTCCTGAGGCCCAAAGGTGGAACAGTATTATTTAAAGACCGCTCCACCATTGATGAAAAGTGGAAGGAACACTTACAAGAGCTTCTAGACCAAGATTATAATGTTAAAGATAATACCATCAAAGCCATTCCACAACACCCCATTAATGACTACCTTGCAGACCCACCAACCTATCAAGAGGCCTTGAAAGTCACTGGGCAGATGAAGAACAACTAAGCAGGCATGTTTTGATGGAATACTAGCTGAAATTTATAAACACAGTAGAAAAAAGCTCTCACCAACTAAGTGCCATTATTCTGAAAATCTGGAAACATCAACAGATTCCTGATGACTTGAGAGATGCCAGAATTGTAACAGTATTCCAGAAAGGAGATAGATGAGATTGAAACTATTACTGTGGCATTGCACTCCTGTCCATAGCTAGGAAGATCCTTACCTCTGTTCACCTCAATGGGGTCGCCCCCCTTGCTGAGGAGATTCTACCTGAGCTCCAGTGTGGTTTCAGACCATCCAGAGGTACAATAGACATGATACTGATCGCTAGACTGCTGCAGAAGTGCAAGCAACACTGAGATCTTTACATGGACTTCGTTGACCTCACTAAGGCCTTTCATTCAATCAATAAAGGCTCTGTGGATGATCCTGTTGAGATTTGGATGCCCGCCAAAATGTGTTGCCATCATCAGATTTGTTTATGACGACATGACAGCAACAATTCTAAGCACTGGATCAAAAACAGACCCTTTCACTGTTAGAACTGGAGTCCGGTAAGGATTCATGATTACATCAACACTTTTTTCCATCTATATTGCAGCTATTCATTGCTGGTAGACTTCTATCCAGGGTCAGCATCTAGTATCGCATAGATGGGAATCTCATTAATATCAACTGGTTACATCCTAAATCCAAGATAACTAACATCTCCATTACCGATCTTCAGTATATTAATGATTGTGTTGTGTGTACTCAACTGAAGAGCTCCAGGTCACTCTCGACTGCTTCTGTGAAGTGTATGAAGTGCTTCAACTTAGGGTTGGCAAGCCAGTCAGCTGACTGTGTATTGTTTTCACTGGTCAAAGATTATAGCAATTTTATACAAAAACCTATTTTTTTAAATAGTTTTCTTGAAAATATGATATTTTATTGTTTTTTGATACAATGGAAAATTTATGCTTTTTCTGTGTATTATTTGGACCTGTTGATAATTTTTTACAATTTTTGACTGATATTTGACCAGTCAATTGACCAAACTTCACTTGACCGTTCAAATACCAAATCCTACTGCAACTCACTGTCAACTTGACAAAAACCAAGATACTTTACCAGCCTACCCTAATCAACCAGCTGCTCCCCCACATATTACAGTTAGAGTCCTTGGAGAATATGGGGTGTTTCCCCTACCTGTGTAGTCTCCTTTCCTAAAAGGTAAACATAGAAGATGATATTAAACACTGAATAAAATATGCAAGTGCCTTTGGATGTCTCCAAAATTGTGTCTTCGATGATTATGATATCAAGACCCAAACCAAATGTCTTATCTACCAGGCTGTTGTCCAGTGTGAAAGCTGGACAACTTATCAGAAACACTTGAAGGGCTTGGAATGTTACTATCAATGATGTCTTCAGAAAATCCCCTGCATCAGAAGGACAGAATAATGAATGCCAGCATTTGACTCGAGCAAACACCACCAGTGTTGACACCATGTTTATATGGCAGTAGCTCTGTTGGATAGGACATATCATAAGGATGTCAACCGGCTCCTGAAATAGGTCCTAGCTCACCCATGCTCACTGCTTTAGGGGTGGGAGAGATTCAAAGGCACCTTGAAAGCCAATCCGAAGATATGCAATATTAAAATCCATATCTGGGAGGCTTAAGCATGGAATAGCCCCCCAGTGGCACTATGATGTATTGCAAGGCATTGACCATTTTGAGCATACTATGGGACCATTCATCTCACTATGGAAAGTGAATAAGTGAGAGAGATGAAGGGAAAGAGCTGTCACCCAACAGCACCAGGATCCACTCCTTCCTTCTGGAACTCTATGCCATATTTGCGTTTGAACATGTGGATCTTGGATCGGCTTCTTCAGTCATCACTAGCTCACTGATGACTGACTTCCCCATCTGGGGGAAGACGGTCATCCTTGTTTTGAGGGACGGCCGACAATAGCCTCTTGCTCAGAGTCCGCCACCTTTGGACATCTGTTGAAAGTGGATGTGGAGATGGGATAGTTTGAGCAGATCTGGAGTTTCAAATAGTCCAAGGAAGAATGCAATGAAGGATTGTTCTGTGAGACTTGTCTGAAAAGCTGATGCTACATTATGACTCAATTCACAGAATATATTTTTCACATACTTTAGGAATATTACATTTTAGAATCACCTGTGGGACTTTGATTTCAGCTGATGGGAGAGCAAAGGTCCTTGTAGTTGCAGTGATCTTCCTGGCTGCCTTCAGTAACATAACATTTCCTACTCTCTGACTTGAATTAATTCCCAAGAAGCCTGTGTGAGTAGTTCCTTTACTAAATGGATCAAAAAACTTCAAGAATTCTGTGATCAGTAAAAAATTCTTTTAACAGGGACAAAAATATAAAGTTGTTGATAGTTCCAGTCTCTTCTGAACCAAAAGATGTTTCAGGCTAAAGATCATCTGGAGTAAAAGGAACATTGTTTGCTTAAAACTCTCAGTTCTTTCAGAAAAAAAGTTTTTAGCTACTATTGTGACAGTGTCTCAGATTGCTAATATAGGAAGAGGTTAGAGGAAAAACACTTTTTTCCAGCTTGTCTACTGTGAGAATTTGATGCCATGTACGTTCTGTATAGCTTTATCACAGTTGCGAGGGAAAGACACTTCCTAAAAATAGAAAAATGTAGTACTGAAGAAATTTGACAGTGGCACTTAGAAGCAGTACTTTGTACTAGAGTACAAGGAGTACATTGTACAGGAAATTCCTTTAACTATTTTTTTTAAAGATCAAATTTAAAGCTGACTGTGTTCCTTTTTAATAAATTTACAGCCCTTCAGTCTGTTATTACTCAAATTTGGTTAAAAAAAACCAAACTGAATTTCCATAAAGATTTCCCCAGTGGTAAATGTTTCATGTGAAGCAGAAACATGCAGTTTATTCAGTTCATTTTGAAAGTGCTTATATTTGTGCTTGGGCCATTCTATTATGAATAAGAGTAAATCAAAATACATCAATTGCCTCAGACTCACAGTGACACTATGTTCCATAATATGTGCACTATTTCATAAGTTTACTAGTTGTTCTCATCTTAAAGTTGACTTTGTTTTTCAACTGTATGTAAACTGAGTAGGAAGTTTCATAGTTTGTGTGGTATGTGAAAGTTTTGATTCAGATACTTAAGCAATCATATGCTTAATTTGACCTGTAAAGCACAGGACTTCTTTTTTTTCTTATGCAGTTAGTGATTTGGTTTTAGGCACATTTGTAGAAATTAAAGCCAAACATGAAGAAATTAGTGTCCAAAATAACAGTAGATTTTTTTAATAAAAAAAAATAAATTCACACCCTTTGTTTGAGCCTTCAAAGTTATAGTTTGCCTTTCACATATTGGAAAATACTCTTTTCAGCTACAAGATTTAATAAATAAATATATTTTAAAATATTTGCATTTGTCTATGATTTAACATTTGCCAAGGATTTTATATGTATTCACATACAACCTTTGTTTGCATGTCAAGTTCCTAGAAAATTTTAAGTATGCAGGGGTGAGTATATTGCAGCCTTTTCTTAAAATGCAGATTTGACCGTGGTCAATTGCTACCTATAAATTTTGACCATGGTCAGTTGCATGCTTGGTCAACTGACTGTTATACTTATTTTCAGTAGGGGCTTAATTTTTAAGATTGTTTGGAAGCTTGGCTGGTGTCAGGTAGTTCAACTTAACATTGCTAGCTCTATATCATTTTTTCCCATGGTCATAGTATATTGGATGTGACATCTGGCATCAGTGTTCCATTGTCTGTGAACTGTATGTTCATGTAATGAAAAGACGGGCCCAGTCTCAAGACTACAGTGCAGGTGTATGGTAAGTGGATAGAAAGGAGCAGTGGAGTTTAAAAGGACAGTGATGTCATTAATATAATAATGGCTGATCATGTAATTTCAGCCAGTATTTGAGTAAGATGCAGATCCTGACGTAGGTGTGCTTTTAGAATAGGTTTACAGGAGAGTAATTCAGTATCTATAGGCATATTTACACAAAGATTTCTGTTTCTTTCATCTTTCCACCAATGCGTAAAGGACATCATGGAATTAAACATGAAGCTCCTTAAGGGAAATTGAACTGATGGGTGATAAAGGCACATCTTCAGTAAAATGGAAGTGAGAGGTAGAGATTAGGAGTTCATTTTAACTTTGTTGATAAAATGGTGGCTGTCCCCAAGGATATGTTGCAGGTTGAAATTTTAATTTTTACAGAAATAGAGGTTAGGGTGAAGATATTAATCTGTGAGTTGTCAGCATAATGATGACAGCTAAAACCATGTTTTTAGATGCAAGAACTCTGTGATAGTATGTAGAAGGCTAAGAGGAGGAGGATAAACGCATTTAATCTTAATGTGTTTAAGCGTCCTTCTGGATCAGAATGTTGATACATTTTCTAAAATGACATCGCTGATAGTAGAATTGCAGGTACTTTTATTTATTTTTTGGAATGTAAACATTTTCAGTTTGTACAATTAGTTATGTATCTTGTATTTAAGCTTTATGTACATGTGACTAGAGATTATTTTTACTGGTACATTTTTAGAAGCTACAGAAAAATATCATTTAATCCCATTATGAGTGACGTGTGTGTTATCTGGAGAATACATGCGGATGTGGTAGGGGTCTCTTTGTATTCTATTTATGTAATATTCTATCCGTGAAGAGGGATGGACCCTGTGCAAAAGCTTTGTTTGGTATCTAGCTAGTTTGATTAAGTCTATAGCTCTTTTTTCCCTAAAAAAAAATATATCCAGTTTTCAAAGAACAAAATGACAGTTTTAGAGAATGAAAATTAAATGTCATTGATCCTGGTCAGTAAGGTATGTATTTCACATGCATTGCCTTATTAACAAACTGCTAGTATTATTTTAGTAAGTGATTGGAGGGGGACTAAAATATTTCCATTCGTGTCCTTAATCTTTTGGATCTTCACTTTGGAAAAATCTGAGAACCAAAGAATACCATGTGTGTAACTTCTTATAAAACACATTTCAGTAAAATTGGGTTAATCATACTGTAATGCGTATTGTAGAGATTTTATTTAGGTACATGAATTCGGCTGCTTTAGAGACTCACTTTCTGTGGGATTTATGTTTCTTTTTAGTTGTATGCTTGCTTAGCAATGCAACAACATGAAAAAATAGTGTCTCAGCTAAGTCACAAAGCCGGGACAAGTGAACATGTATAATTGACAGTTAAAGTAACGTCTTGAATTGGGGGGGCAGTTGCTCATTAGAACTTGTCATTAAGTCCCACAGTTGACACCCCCAGTCTTCATGGGAGGAAAATTCTTCAAAATGAAAATCTGGTGGATAGCTTACATTTGATTTCACTGTATTCAATCAGTACTGTATTTTCCTTGAAGTTGATCAGTTATTTTCAATTTTCAGTTTTTAACTCGCATTAGTTCAAAGTACATTTATGTTTTATTGTCACTGTGTAAGAATATTCTACCTTGAAAATGTTTTTACAGCTTTGCCTATGGTTTACTAATATACATGTGAAATGTTACTTTCAGGTGCTGACCTTAAGGAACGAGCTAAAATGCATTCAAGCGAAGTTAGTTCTTTTGTCTCAAAAGCCAGAGCAGCTATTAATGAAATGGGTAAGTAAAATAAGCAACCCTGTTGAACAGTGCACTCTTTAACCTTAACCTCTAAAGGGCAGATCAAAGAACTGACATAAACATATATGATTAATTCTTGCTATGTGATGAGAGATCCAAAACTGGTTCTATCTGTAAGATAATGAGTCATTGGCATATTACACTTTTAAAACGTGAACAGTAGCATTTGGCTTTTCCTTAGCATATTTTAAGATAGATGTATTTCAGTCTCCAAAACAGTGTGAGTTTTGAAATCATGTTGGTGGGAGGTAGGGGAGGTGGGGGAGAAGAGTTGCTGTCCTGTACCCTCTGTGTGCTATGGGTTTGTTTTTACTGATCCTTTTTTTGTTGGCTATAAATTGATAACAGTATTTGATATGCCTTATTAAGGTTTAAACATCTGCTGTTGATAGAAAATGTGTTTTTTATGGCATCATAAAATTTCATTAAATTTTATATCTACTTTATTGTGGAGTGAGGTAGGTCACTCTATTAGTCTGAATTTATGCAGGACAGTGTAGCACCTACCTTGTTCAGGCATGAACTTTTGTTAGCTACCTCCTATTTGGTTAGATGCTTTGAATGGACTTGCAGTCTCAGCAGTGCTCTTTCCTTTACTTCCCCTTTCCATATTCTTTGAATTTAAATTACCTTATTCCTTTCTATTTTATTGTAGTGGGACTTGCTACTGTTAATACAGTTTCAATTGGCATTCTATTTTATATATTTTTCTTTTAGATCTGAATAATTTTGCCTATGAATTTGAAATATAACATTTCCATTAAAATATCTAATTTTTTAAATGAATGCTTGGGATGCTGCTGATAGGATTCTGTGTAGGTACACTATCAATAAGATTCTGTTAAAAGAAAGGGAAATTATCTCTGAAATAATCCTTTTTGTAAGTTTAAAATGCAAAAATGACTGATTTGTAGGGGTGTAATTTTTACAGTAATTGATGACCCAGAAACATTCTTTAAAATGTTACTCTTTTTTAAAAAAATGTAGTTCTGCAGTGTTCGTGCTGGATTAAGTAGTTTGTATAGGTGTTCTTTTGCAGCAATATCAGAAAGCTTTTGAAGGCAGTGTAATTAATCACAGTTCATACTGATGAGATTTAGAGAGAATTTTATTCCTGATGAACCAAATTATGCCATGCCATGGAATGTATAATCAGAGTAGATTTTGCCCCATAGAATGTTAGAGTTTATCTTGGAGACATAGGGCTAAAACTTTTTAAAGTTTTTAAAATGAATGAATTTTTAATGTTAATTACTTCTAGTGGAGTAAATAACTTTTTAAAGGAATAGTTGTACATACATTTCTCTGTTAACCTTGGGTCAGCTTTGTAACTTGGATTGAGAGAATAATAAAGATGGAAGCAAAATATGATGTTAAGTAAATTTCACACTATTTAAAAATACAGGTTTTCCTTGCCAACCATGGTTTTGAGTATCCATGCTTCAGAAAAGGGGGGGAGGTACTGTCGGAAAATAACCCCCACACCTCCCCTGCCCTTGCTTGTGCCCCTCACTCCTCACAGCCCCTGCTCCCCCAGCCCTGCCGGTTTTGCTAACCATGGGAACTTTGAGGAACCTAACCCCCGTGATTGGCGAGGGAAACCTGTAGTCTTAATATGGAAGTTCATGGTGTTCAGTTTCTGATTTCCTCTTACCTCCCTGTGAAGTAAGCCAAATCTCTAAGGCTTTTAAAATATGCAATAAAGCAACAATTTTTTTCTGCCATTAATTTTCTGCAGAAGATAGTTCATTAAGTGCTAGTGCTCATCTTCTCCTTGCAATATAAGAAGGAGGATTCCAGTAAGATTTTTAAAAGACTTTCTTTAGTTCTGTCACTTTATTCAGCCTTCTGGAACTGGAGGCATTTAAAATGCTTTTATTGTGACTCCACTAAAGTGTATATAGTCAATTTAAAGTTTTCTTAGCTATTTCATCTTAAAATGATTCCAGTCACTGAGCAGTGAATTTCGTTGCCATGTGGTATTTTGGCATATGTCAGTTTTACCTGCAAAATAATGGCAAATGATTGGTCAGAATTGGAAAATACCAGAACATCTTCTACATAGAAAACTGTTCATTAGTTTTCATGCTGTTTATATCTGGCATGATGTTTTCTTGTTTAATCATTTCATAAATGTTATTAATTAAAAACTTTGATATTGTTGTTTTTGAGCACAGAATGTTCACTGTACATGACATGTCAGGATTAAATAACTCTTATGCTAAAATACTTCTACAGCTGTTTGACCTCCCATTTTTGAAGTACATTTTTACATGTGTATATATATTCATCAGTTTCATGATGAAGAAAAGGAACAAGGTGCAATGTAATGCATGTGGTGCAGTATATATATTGTCTTTACCAATAGAAGTGTGCATTAATCTTTTAACAAGTCAGAGTTTTTCAGTTCTTCTTTTCTTCTTCTGAAGAAGTAGTCTAGCATTACAAGAACTAATTTTAGTAGAACAAGTGGGACACTACATTTGCATTGGATTCCTGGCAATGAATCAGTATATTGAAAACAAGAAGATCAAGAATTTTTTTCCTGCCCAGCAACAGCCAGAATGTCAAGACATTTAGGGGTGGAAAAGTCCTCCTGCAGCTATTTGTTTGCCATTGTCCAAATGCTGTAGAAACAAGCAGTACACTTTCTGTTTTGTCCTTTTGTGTCTAATGTTCTTGTTGAAAATCTTTCAAATATACACTATTTTCTCCTTCAGAAATAGGTCATGTTATGATAACTGTATTTATACGTGCCTTTACTAGGAAGGAGGGAGAGAGAGAGAGAGCGAGCTCTGTTTAAAGGTAGGACAGTGGTTCTCAACCTTTTAGGACTCAAGGCACTCCTTCATACTTTCAAGACACCCCTGGCTAGATTTAAGACACCCCCTTGGAAAATCTTAGCTCTTAGTTTTCACTTCATTTTTGATTGCATGAAAATAATAGAGCAATTCTTCTGTGGCACAGAACTCAGAAAGACCACAACAGGTCAGCATTTTTTAACAATATGGTTCCTATTTGAAATCTCTGGGTTTAGTTTATGAATCGTGTTTGCATACCTAACAGTGCTAATATTATGGCACCCTACAGCACCCTTGAAAGGATCTTAAGGCATGTCCATGGTGCCGCAGCACCTTGGTTGAGAATCACTGCTATAAGAGAAGTAGTTAGTTAACTGTGTAGGTAGTATTTGTGAAAAGTAAATGTGTTAGAATTTGAATAACTGTTGAAAAGCAGCCATTTATAATGATTACATCACCTTTTTGTAGTTTTTATTATATTTTAAAATTATTATATGAACTGTTAAGCATTTTCTTCAAAAAATGATGCTGCATTTTTTTGGTATGCAACTACAGAAAAGAATTTTCTAGAAATTAAAAGCACACAGCATTTGTTTGCTACAGTTTTTATGTGGGATTAATTTATAACTTCACACTAAATTTGGGTGAAGTATTAAGACTGCACTAAATATCACTTGGTATAAAAATAAGCACTTGAAAACAGAGCTGAAGAAATTGTACTGAGTTATTAGTTGTAGCTCAGAGAGTTTAGAGATGAGAAGCAAAATCAAAGCAAGCTACTATTTTTAGAAGCAGCTGCTTTTGCTAAAATTATGGTTGAGTTGCGTGGGTTTCTTCTTAATAAAGCAGGAACATAAGACTAATTGTCCATTACTATATTCTACCTTGAGTTTCTTCATTACTGACGGTTTTAGACTGAAATTGGAGAGGAAAATATTAAAAATCTATTCTGTTCTATGTAGTTTCAGACTTAAATTAAATCAAAGCCTCATTGACATGCACACAACTCACTTGCTAGACTGTTTGGAAATAAATCATACCACCTTAGGTCAGATTCCCAGTATATTTAAAATGCTGTACTTCAGAGTCATTTGATAGTTCAACGCCTGTTTTCATAAGCTAAATGTCTGGCACTTTGTGCTTGCATGTAGTATTTTATCCAGTTGCAAAACAAATTCTAGCCATCTGCAGGGTGGAAGAGTAACCGTTCTTTACCAATAAAACAGATGTTTAAAAAAACTGAACTGACAGCAAGAATTCAAGGTAGGCAGTATGGGACTTCATTTCAGAAGTTTTTTTTTCTTTTAATCTGCAATATACACTCCAAAAAAGGGAGAGTGTTCCAAATTAAAGACATCAGCTCTCACCCACTAACAGTTTGTGGGTTACAAGTTGCCCCTGACTTCTGCTCTACTGGCCATCAACAGCCATTGCTTCATAGCCTATGAAACTGAATGGTACAACCGCCAAAACAGAAGGTCCAGCCTGGGCAAGGTGAGATTCCGTGTCTTGATTCAGTATTTCAGGTATAGGGTTCTTGACTCTAGAGCCTTGACTGAAGATTAGAAGATTTACTTTCACGGTGATAATTTTCAGGGACAATATTGCTACCTGCCCTCCCCAAAGTATACTGTGTTTTCTCTCACACTGCACATCCCAGATATGACACACGCCTTTGTTTTGGGAAGGCAGAATGAAGAAGAAAAGATTTTTGAATGCTGACCGCAGGGGATTCTGACTGCAGTGGCTGTGGCCGCAGGAAGGTTAACACTAGCTCTGACCCTTCTGAACTTTGCCCTCTTCCTTCCTGAGGCTGAGAAAGGGAGAAGCATGGCAGCCATTTTGCTGCAGTATCTCCATGCTTCTATTCTCCCATGCTGTAATTCTAATGAAAAATAAAAAAGCTTCCCCACTTAAAATGCACCACACTTTTGGTGGGCTGATTTTTAGGGGAAGGTTGTGTGTAGTATGAGAGTAAATACAGTATGTCTTTCCCTCTCTGATACAGGTAACATCTGTTTAGCTGAACTCTTTTCTTTTTTGAGTGGACTTAGTTATAGAATTGGCCAGTAGAGAATTGAGAGTTTGAATCCTGGCTTTGACATTCACTTTTTTGTGGGAGGGTTGCTTAACTCTCCTGCTGTAAAATGCTACTTGTTTATTGCTTTTGCATCTCTT